GTGTCGGGTTCCAATGGCCTGTGATGCTGGAGCGGTGGGTGGATGGTTTGGGCAGCTGGCTACGTATGTGACGTTTGGCCAGCGCTACCACATCCGGTGCCCACGTGCCCCCGCAGTGTGGTAGGTCGGAGGCCGTCTTCGCTTCCTTATCACATGCCTCGTTCTTTGCAACGCCACAGTGGCCAAATATAAATTGTAGCCGTATGCGTGCCTTGCGGTGTTGAAGGTCCAATAACACGTTCCATAGTATTCGTAATATGGGGTCTGTTACGGTTATTGGGCCCGTTTGGGGTGCCATGGGGAGTGGCAGGGAATCTGTGAAGACGGAGGCTCTTCACGGTCAGTGCTGCGGGCTGGAATGATGTCCAGCAATTTCTGCAGTCCAACTTGCAATGCGATGGATTCAGCCCGGCAGCTACACGCTATTGGTCCGGCACCTGATTCCGCTTGGGCAATAGGCTCTCCGTTGAGGTAAATCATGGCTGCTGCGCCAGCTTTCGACAGAGCCATCCGTCCATAGTTCATAGTGGAGGCGCCCAGGTGGCGTAGAACCTTTCCGGCGGAAGCGTCGGGCTATCCATCTGGTGCATGCTTGAAGTTTGACCTCGTCCGGGTCCTTCGCGGTGACACCTTCAAGCGATGTGTGAAACAGGGCCCGGGATGCCCACCGCAGCGTGAGGGGCGCCAGAGGAGGGATTCTAGCTTCGATATGGAGTTCTGGGTATTGCGCCATGATGGTGGCATACAGTTGTCTTACGGGGTGGTCGGCTGAGTAAACCATTCTGGCGCCCTCACGCACAGCCCCGCCTCGCGTTTCGCACAAGAGCAAATATTTTAGGCTACGGGTGAGCACCGTCGTACTTAGTGGCAGCAAGTTGGCCTCAAGTAAAGCATCTTCTGTGCGGCTACCTTTGGGAATGCCGGCGATTATTTTACAGGCTTTGTACTGCCCGGCATTAAGCGTTGTTCGCGAGGTGGATGATGCGTCCCAGTACCATACTTCTATACCATACATTGCTTTGGCCTGCACTAGAGCCAAGTAGAAGGCACGCAATGTGTCTTAGTTTGGTCCCCATCTGCAGGATGAGACAGCCGCTAGCTGCATGAGCCGCTGGTTGATCTGCTGCTGTAGGCGTGCTACGTGTGAGCTCATTCCACGGTAGTTCTGGAATGTGATGCCCAGCAGGGTCGGGAGCCGTTCCATGGTGACCGGTGTTCCATTGTAGAGGAGGGCAAGGGGGTTGGCACTTGTGGTCCCAAAGAATGCATACTTCGTCTTGGACGCGTTAACCTCCATGAAGTATTGCTTCGTCCAAGATGCCACCACGTTTAGTCCCCGTTGTAGGGTGGTCGTCATGATCTCTCTGTCGCTGTGTCGGGCTATCAGGGTGAGGTCATCCGCGAAGAAGCCGTGCCGCAGTAGCGGGACTTCAGCCAGCCGGAGGCTGAGAGAGTTCATGACAATAATAAACATGAGTGGCCCAAGAACCGTGCCTTGTGGTACACCTCTCGTGAAGGACACCGGCGAGGAGTGCACCTTGTTTACGCGAACTACTGCCGTCCTATTGCCCAGAAAGGATGCTGACCATCGCACTATATGTTGCGGTACACCCAGCCGTCGCATTTCAAGTATGATTTTATCATTGTCGACTGTGTCGAAGGCTTTGGTGTAACCCATAAATACAGCGGCCTTTTTATCCCCAGGAGTCGGGCGATGCATTACCGCTCGAAGGTGCAATAGTTGGTCCAGTGTGGAGTGAGAGGGTCAGAATCCGAACTGCTGTTGTGTGGGCGCTGGTCCGATAGCATCAATAAAGCGTGCTGCTATGATGCACCCAACGAGCTTACAGAGGCAACTGGTGAGCGTTACCGGTCTGTATGACTCTAGTTCAGTCGCTTTCTTGCCCGGCTTTAGGAGTGGGATTATAATCCCGTGTCTCCAGCTCTGTGGGACGATGCCAGTGCGCAGGCTCTTGTTGAAGAGCGTTAGGACAGAGTGTTTCGCGCATTTCCCAAGGTGCCGTAGTGCCTCACCATGTATCATGTCGGGTCCCGGTGCAGATCCCAGCGGAAGAAGACGCAGAACGTGACGAAGCTAAGCCATTGTTATCGGCTGAAACCCCCAATCCTTTGTTTTGATTGGGGGTGGGGAGTAAGATCGCGGGTGTCTTCGCGCTATTGCAGGAAACATGTGGGTCAGATGGCTCACGTTTTTGTGTTTTGAAAGCGCAACCCCATCTGACTTAACGGCTGG